CATCGCCCCAAAACATCGCGCAAAAACATCGCGCCATTTTGGATAAGCTTGTCTCCACGTTCTTTTCTCCGTGTTTTTTATTTTTACATAATTATGTTCCGGTCCTAATGTAACCAGTCACCGAAAAACCCTGATAGGGAGTGGCTGTGCATAACTGTATCTGTATCTAAGTTATCTAAGAACTAGGAGTTCAGACATGATAAAAGCTTTGTCCAATCTGTGAATTTTATCAAAACATAACATCGATCCTCAATCGGGCGAGCAAGATAACTTAGATACAGATATGCACAGCCACTCTCTATCAGGGTTTTTCGGTGACTGGTTACATTAGGACCGGAACTAGCGTGAAGCAGACCGAGATAGAACTTCTGTTCCGTTGTGGTCAAGGTATGTTATACTTATTGTATAATATTGTATCCTTGGCTGAGTAAAGTACCTGATTCTCATTTCCATTTCAAGTGTCATATGCATATTTAGAATAGAAGGAACTTCGATATTTTTTGCCATATATGTCATGACTTGTATATTATTTAAAACGCTCATACAATATTTGGATTTGTGCATATTTGCGGCCGTGAGTTTATTTTATTTTGCCGTGGCTGTTTATTTTTGCCGTAAGAGTTGTGGGCCACCGTACCAGGGAATAATTTATTACTGGAAGAAATTATTAAAACATTTATTCACTTTTATTCATTCATTTATTCATTTTTTAAACGAAGTAACTCAAGTTTGTCTTTTATTTGCTCTACTTTCTATATATATATATATATATATATATATATATATATATATATATATATATATATATATATATATATATATATATATATATATATATATATATATATATATATATATATATATATATATAATTTGTTTTGTTGTAGTAGATAATAAAGTGCTCAACACTAATACAAAAGTAGAGCAAGATATATTTATATCTTAAAATTAATTATTGCTACTCAAGTTTCACGCCTTATTCAAGACGATCTTCAGGCAATTAATTCAGTTTGTGTTTGATTCGTCAGCGTCAACGGTCGGTCGCTGACGAATCAAACACAAACTGAATTAATTGCCTGAAGATCGTCTTGAATAAGGCGTGAAACTTGAGTAGCAATAATTAATTTTAAGATATAAATATATATAAATATATATATATATATATATATATATATATATATATATATATATATATATATATATATATATATATATATATATATATATATATATATATATATATATACATATATATATATATATATTAAGGTGAAAATGTTCTCGAGTGTGTATTATATAATTTCCATACCCAGCGTAAGCAGAAAGATAAAGTCTGCCGCGGCTGGGTCTTGAACCCGCGACCTTCGAATTACTAGATCGACGCTCTACCAACTGAGCTACACGGTCAGACGGATTTAAAACTGGAAATTATGAAATCTGCTTACGCTGGGTATGGAAATTATATAATACACACTCGAGAACAATTTCACCTTAACATATTACGGAGTGTACATATTGCGACTATATGATAAAATAAAACAAAGATTGTGAAGGGGATAAAATTTGTAGGCAAGCATTGTTCCTAAACGGCAAGTGTTGGTGTCCGACGAAACAAGCGAATCCGTATATTCCTGTACAGCGTAAACAGGTTACGCGAGGTTTTATATTTGTGTTTATTTATATTCAACTAAGTCAGATCTATAAGAGCATATTTAAACTAACTATTATTTATAGCAATAGCCGTATTGTTGAAGACGAGAGAAAGCAAATTTCGTGTGAATTGCCACTTGCATGGAGACGCCTAGATGCAGGTCGGATGCAGCTTTGCCTGTGGTTGAAAATCTCCAGAAATATCGATATATCTTAGAAAACATAGACGGAGTCTTCAGATATTTCAGCTGATTCGTGCCAAACTTCGCTCTACGCATAAATAATATCGTTTGAGAAGTCTTTTGGCTGTTTGTTTGTTTCGAAGACTTGTATATTTCATTAAAGAATATCTCGCCACTTCTTGACGAGTAGCTGTCAAATACTGCCAGTTTTTGGGTAGTCACTTGACCGGTCCAGACCAGGGCTTTCTCGTGCCTCGCCTCGTCCTCATACGAAAGCCCTGGGAACGAGGTTGCAATTCGTGTTCAGTTTCTAAGTCACTGCAGTTACCGAGTTGATACATGCATATCAGTTTCGCGCTGTCCAATAAATACATTAGTGGTCAATATATATAATTACACCTGCGAGGTTGTTTAATTTCATCTTCCTAAATTACAATAAATTCACGTTAGCGTATGCATAGATTTGATGACATTTGATGGGACCTTTCGATGAGGAAGGATGGATCCTATTGAAATGATGTTAAACATTTTAATATTCTTCGTCGCAAGTCCAGGACATTTTAACGCAGAATCGTCTAGTTTTGAAAGTCAACAATATTTCAAGAAAATGAAAGATCGTGGTAAGCTTGTTAAAATCAAAATTCAGGCATGATGAATACAGCTACATAACCAGTAAGCGGGAACAAATATCTGATGACTGTAAGAAATGGCATTTTCAGAGTTAGCCTAAATTTGGTTTATAGCTAATTAAATCTGTAATTTAATACAGCT